TACAGCTCTAGATGGCGTTTGTAACCATCTCACCGGGATATAAATAAATACCTTTGTAACTGAGAGAATGACCTTGCAGCAGCCCATATAACCACTGATAAGATATCAGCCCGAAAGAAAAATCTGAATTGGCAGTTTTCCAGGTCGCTTTTTAAGTGACTCCCTTAGGTAGCCGTCTTGATACCCTTGAGACCCGTTCTACACCATTATTTCTTGCCTGTTTTGCTATGCAACACGAATAATAACAGATCACTTGGCCTTGTGAAGCAGAAAACATCAAGTGAGGGAGAAAACAAGTGGAAGAATAGTTTTTGAAAAGGAAAAAAACTATTTGGAGGTCATACATAAAAGAAAGACTTTCTCGCAGTTCTATTGAAACGGGTCCGCAATGAGATCAAAGTTCTCTTCCATGCAGAAAAACACCTCTATATCGGGCTGGCTATTTTTTGTAAAAAAAAAAAAAAACTGCGAAAAAAATCCTGCCAATTGGTCTGGGTGGAGTTTTATCTCACCTCGAGAATAGCCGGATAATGAGGTGGGATGAGGTGTAATCAGAGCCTCCAAAGCCAGATGATACCTTTGGACAACTATTGAGGTGGTTGCGAACATCTTGCTAGGATGCGATTTAATGAGGTAACTATTTACCCAGTCTACTGCAGCATACGAATCGATACTTATCCGACGAGACGTAAAGTAACCCACGGAAGTGCATTGGTTAAGCCTATGGGGAAGCGGCATAAACACGAGGCTACTTTGCTTAGGCTTCAAAGTTCTCCTCAATACGGCGTTGTTTACCACAGCCTTGTTGTCAGGGTAAAATGGCAATTATACTGCTTTAATTCAAAAAGATGTCTACTCGTTTGGTTGAAACGAACAGGAATAGAATGCAAGTCATAAGATATCCAGCACGAAGTAACTGGAACGCAGTCAATGAACTTTTGTCGAGGTCCGAACGGCCGTTGAATCTCCCCGTGTGAATTCCTATCGCTGCTGTCGTTTCTCCTACCGACTTTACAATCACCGGTCCACACGCTCTTTCGCTGTGCTCCACTCTGCCTCTGACTCACCAACCGACCGACACACAAAGCGACAGAATTCAACGGTGAATAAAAACGGACAACAGCCATACAAAAATGTCACTGCAATCAGATTCCATTGACAGTGTTTATCGTATACAGTTTATCCGACGAATTATTCATATTTCTGTTCATCATCTCATCCATATGGCACCGCACAGAGCGATAATGGGACCCGTGTAAACTGAGTTGACCACCAGTGAAAGTTGCATTAAGTCCCGTACAGCACTGGGATTAAGATCTGGCAACATGCTCAACCGAATCAGGCCCCACTGAGCCTCTTGTCCCCACCCGGGCTCCTTCAGCTGTAGGAATTTTTGGGAGCATAAAATAAGTGATTTGTACATAAAAGAGCTGCACAGCTCACTTTCTGGGCGAAGAACACATTCGAAACGGTGGAACGATTCTAAATGGGAATTAAGTGCTAGGGCGCATCACTAAACGGGAGTAAACAACGCCAGAAACCACTGTCGTTTATTTTATTGTTATAGTTCACGATAGGTTCATGACATTTTGCTGACACCATTAGAGTAAAGGAGGGGTTCGCGTAGCGGTAAGGGTGTAATTTTAGCCTCAAACATCGCTCTTATGTAAGCCCGGTATTATAGTTAACAGATGATATTATATCTCTGGGCCCTGATAGGTTTCCAAGTGAAATTAATCATCAGCTCACTACACGCTATCCTCCGTTTTTCTGGAAGGAACATGATATCATTCACAGGCAACGGTCTGTAGCAAATGAGACTTACACTGCCTCCCTCATACCTACATATGGTAATAAAGATAATAAAGAAGGCCTCGTGATCGCTGAAAACAGTAAGCAGTCTCATCTACACATGGCACACGCCACATGAATATTACCACCATAAACTACTTACCCGAGATTTAAACAAGGTAGAAGTTTGAAGCTATGAAAATGAAGGGTTCTAGACCCACATAGCCTTCTTGGGGACGAGCACTATGTGTAAAAGTGGTACCAAAACAGTAAAGGCCCTACTTAACAACTCAGCAAGGCAAAAAATTAAATCCAACACTAAATGCTGGCAGATTCCAATGAAGGGGTGATTAAAACATCTACTTCGGTCATTCTCCTGGGGTACGCCATGCATTCGACTATTCCGTAGATTGAATATCAGAGAATATGCAGCGAATTTGAGATCCAACGAATAATTGTGCCAGTAAGATTATTTTAGATTAATTTGTGGTCGATTAATAGTTCTGAAGGGTAAAACCTTTAGTTCCTCCGTTGTGTTGTTAATGCATTCAAAGTCATGGAAGAACGATAAGGCTCTAATACCAATTAGCCCAGATTCCGACCAATAACTAAAGGTTTCGGTCAGACAACGAATAGAACTCAGCGGTAGGGCTTCACAGCTATATCCTACAGCCCCCTTGATCTTTCATTCCAGTTTTTATTTTCTAAGAATTCCAAATTTATTCAATATCGTAGAGTTTATCATTCTGTTTCAATGGTAATAAAGTAATAGCGGCCCGCACAGAAAGTAATCACTACTCTTCCACGTAAAGTACATTCATGGTGCAGAACGATTAATACCCTCACATTAGCCAACATTGGCAATTATCTGCGATTCCGGACCATTAGTGTTAAAAAATTTCCCTACTTTGAAGTTCCATTATTTCGAAACGGTGACCTTATTGCATTTTTGAAATTTTTTACAATTTTTTTAACCTCGATAATGTATGAGTATTTGTTTATTTATGAGCTTCATTCAACGCGTCTGACCACATAAACATAGTGAAGTCAATAAAAGTAAACACAACGCTGTTGTCCGAGCGAGACCGCAATCTCAAAAACATCTAAGAGTCATGTAGCACGAAAAATTTTTTATCGTCACCAAGAAAAAAATAGCTAAAATGGTTATCTGGACCATTACCAAGAAAAAATATTATAAAGTGGGTAGTAAAACGATATAGTTGACGTCGATGTATCACCAACACCATCGACTTCATCAGAAATAAATTCGATAATACACCTACAATTATATCGTTTTTTAATGAGATATCTTTTTTTTAATGAGCAGTCAGATGTGTCACCGGCTGCGGTGTTTATATCGTTTGTTTGCTGCATGTGAACTACGTAGATATATCGTCACTATTGTCATTTCCAAACGATGGATTAGAATTACGTTGGAAAGGCCTGACTCAACAGAACACATCATTTTCCCCAGGCCTTCCACTCTTCTTACCTTGCCATATCTTTTTGGTTACATTTAGTCCCTCAACCCCAAATGATAAAGTTGATCATATAATCTCCCATTACAGTATGCCTGACTTGCCTTTTAATAATCCAAAACAGTTAGAGCAGTTACAACGAATAATCTCTTTGATTCATGCACTCGAAAGAATTCGGAAACATAGCACGGGCGAAAGATCTCGATTGGAGACAAGCGATGTTTAGATTTCACGAATTCCCTGCGCAAAGCGATGACCGCCTTGCTCGCACAAGACAGACAGCCTTAACGATAACATTGATTTTCTGACTTGTGGCCGATTTCTTTTTCCCCTTCCACATTTTGAAAATTTGGGGAGGTTCCTCTCATATGACCACCTATACTAGTAATACAACGCCGAAAAACGTTAAAATGAAGGTCTCGCAATTGGCTAGTTGACCTTGGAAAGGTAATCATAGAAAGCGATCGGAAATAATGCGATTTCTTTGAAAGAACGACAACGCCGTCCTCCTTTGCTGTTGAAATGTAGGTGAATGATGATGGAAAACTATCAGTCGAACTCTGGGCCAGGCCTGAGCTTGCCCGATCTCAGAAGAGTTTACTAAAGGCTGCCACATTGTTATCAAGGGAAAACATTTTCGCACTTCAGGAACTTTGTCATAAGTATGGCACAGCTAAGCATCGGCTGCGGTGAAGGAAGTGAAATTTTAGCCGTCTTCATAACAAAACACTTCAGCACAACAACGTGGCTAACTTGGGGAAATAGATAGGTAATTTCTATAAACCTGCATAAGCAGAATTCCAAGATCAGAGAAGTTGCTTATCATAACATTTGCTCGTGGTACACAAATTACGGAGATTCTCAAAAGTGCCGTTTCAGATCTGTACATCGGAAATTCGCTCACATTCAAAAACTAATTATTTCCGCAGCCTCATCAAATTGTTCCAACACAACCCGCTTTATCCATAAGTGTACCGTCAAGACTAACCACTCGATTCCTAAGCTCTAGCTTTCACGCAGCTTGAACCTCGAGATTTTAAAGACACTCTCTATAGCAAATAATAATGAAGCTGATGAAAAAACGCGCGGATGTCAAAGAAGGCTACATGTGATGTCATTGCTCTTTAGAACTCCTCATATATGGTCCAAAACGTAAGCTACAGAGTATAAAATAGCTACACCCCTTTACCAATGGAAGCTTGCGTTCAAAAGCGATTGAGTATTCCGAGACTGTAAACCTAGCAGATGTTATTTTCCGAAGTTGGGTGATATCTATTTCAAAGATCCATCCAAAAACTCACATCTGTGCATTCATTCTGGACATCCTTTGGATGTGATGCAAAAGAAATAACTGGCGACTAATGAACTCTCCCACTTCAGTCGTGAATGTCACACGTGTTTCTCAGCTTGTAAGGAACGCGTCCTTGGACGAACTTCTGTGATAAGACTACAGGTGAGAAATGTATCTAAAGCTAACCAAAGTAGAAAAAAAATTGTTGAAGCCTTAATAAAATGGGATTAAAATCTTTTGCTTGACTCACAGTATAGCATAGCTCCTACGTACGGAACCATTACTCCATTTTGTTTTTAATTCTTTTTAATTACTTATACTACACACCATGAAAAAATAACAACAATAACATGAACAACAATAACAATTCAAGAGAAAAAAAGCCTATAAAGCAATGCACCGGCATTATGAACAGGAAAAAAAACTCGTTTTACAACAAATCACCAGTATCGCATTGTAATGAGCATCCAAATAAGATCAAACTCATAAGCACGAATCTAAAAACGTTGAATCATTCCATATCAGAAGGTTGTCGTGGAAATATATTCAAGAAAACAAAAAACAAAAAAGGAATCACTTACGTATCGTTGACGATTCTGAACCTCTCGTGACGTTGAAGCCGAGCATAACGAAGGGTGCTCTTGCGTGGAAATCGGCAATGTCCGTTCAACTGCAACCAAAATCGAAGCAAATGGTACAGTACAAATAGTAAAAAGATAACGCACAGTACATGACTGATAAATATCACATTAAAATCCAGCCGCTAATTAATTATGGCTGTAAGCTCTCTTAATAAGATCAAGATAGTGAAGAGCAGCCTAACCCATCTCTAGTTCTTTATCGATAACGGAGGATATGAGGGCATCGAGAAAGGGTGTAACTATCATTACCACTCGCATAATTTGCGCTACTCCTGCCAGGTTTGCCGAGTATCGCACCTCTCTAGGTACGCTTTGCGTACATGAATATACCGAAATGAACGTCACCACCCCTCGCTCCGAAATCTCATCACACTACATTTAATACTTATGCTCTTGCTCGATCACATGATTGAATTTATCGCTGCCAACACACAAACTGGAATAGCCTAACGTCTTGTTCAATAAAAAAATCAGTCCTTGGTGTGGCGATGCAACTTGGAGAAATTTGAGTATAGCAAATAGAGATCAATATTCAAGAGGAAAAAACGCACCAATACTTTCTCGAGGAGAATTTCGAGATACGTCTTGAATCGATTCCTCATCGTCCTAAAAACCAAACTAATCACCTTTTTATTCTTAGAAGGTGGTGGAGATTTACCTCTTTAGCTGAAGAATCAGAAGGGCTGAAGTCATCGTCATCGCTGCTTTCGCTGGAATAATCAAATTCCTCACTTGCCACGTCATCCGCAAAACGTCCAATTTGAGAGGATCCTGAATAAAAAGCGGTAAGGATAATTCAAAAATTTTTGGACATCACACAAATAGTAAATGACAGAAAATTTGCAATTTCAGAAGTAGGATCAATGAGAATGATGCTCTCATCAAAGAAACTTGAGCAGGCAGAAACCCAACAACATTCACTCAGAAGGGAAGCCAAGAATAATGGCAATCATTGACATCTTTTATACAACTAGAACTTCCAGGTGACTACGTGGAGAGCATTTTTGTATCAATGTTTTGCGGAACTTTCTTACCCCAAAGCCTCGGCACTCCAAGTCGCACTACTTCAATCTCACCAGCGTCAGAAACGTCTTCAGCAGGCGATATATACAACGTCTTGAAAGAACGTTTTCCTTCGCTCTATAATAGCCGTATAACATTTTTTCAAAAGAAATACTTGTAACAAAACCCACATTAACGGCGGTACTCTGCAGTGGGCAAACTTTTCCATCAACCATGGATCGCTTCAGATTATTGAATCTTAACAATATGCTTCAGAAAGTGAAGTGATCCAAGGAGCCTCAATAATCAGCACTGTGCCGATGGGTGAAAACACAAAAATTCGAAAGAATAAAACATGGTAGAAACATACCTCTGCCTATCCGCAATCTGAAATTCCAACATCATGAACGCACAATACAAGATTGGCTCAGATTCTCCTGAAATAACGCAAGAGAATAGTAGGTAAATAACTAATAAAGTCATAAAAATGAATGGGCCCAAAAATTAGCCCTCCTTCAGTCTATTTATGTAACAATCGGATGTCCATTTAATGACTTGCGTTTATTAATTAGGGTCATAGAATGAAGTTGAATTGTAGGCTCCTATAAGAAGTGCCATTTATCTTCATTTCACTATCATAGACAATCAGGCATTTTAAGTAGTATAGTCCCGTTTCTCAAATGTGGCTGGCAATGATGGTTTCAATCTGACCATTTTAAACACCATGCAGTAAACGAACCTATGATTTTTGAAAAGCAATGAAGAAGCTTGGCAAAGGTGTGACTCATTGCCGTCTTAGCGACCTCAAAAGCGTCAACAGCACTCTTTCGCGATGCGAAAAGCATGCGCAAACCGTGACACGTCTTCTGCTGAAACAAACTGGGCCATTTCGCTATATAAGTACCTAATTGAAGATTAGAGACATCAAAGCCAGTGTTATAATGATAAGAGGGAACCTCATTTCGCCAGATCAATACTAGTGGATTAACATCTAAGGAAGTAAGGTCCGGTTTGGAGAACCAGAATAGGGGCGCAGTTAGAATATGCGCCACGATTTCGCAGTAAGGATCTCATGTATATGAAACGTTCCGTTAGGGCTGCTCAAAGATTAGCTCGACATAAGAATTAGGTCAAATTAATGTTTGTAATGTTTCCATGAATAAAGAACAAAAGAATAGTACATGAGTAAACAGGTACTAGGCCAATTGAAAAACGAACCAGACCCATTCGACGGTTGAAAATGAGTGATCGAAAATCATACTCCTTCAGATAAATAACTCCGCCGTTAGTGAACTGGGGACGAGGATAACGCTGAAGAAATCAAACTCGAATAGTAATATTGAAATGAAAAGAAAAAACTTTACCACGTATCCTTTTGCACATGGAAAATGAGAATGCCATCTCGACTGTCGGCAACGTGTTGAGATGCGGGAGGTGCCTGTTGTGGAGGTATTATCACTTTTGATTGGTACCGATTCCTTCTCCAACGTACTTTTCTAAACACATCGATGGAAGGCGTACCAACATCAAAATAAAAAAAAAAAAAACAGAAAAACCGTACGGTGAACTCGGTCTTGAAGATCCTAACGGCAGTTTCGTCAACGACTGTTCGGATTTCCTCCTTTTCTGTATTACTGCGCGGGCGCAAGAGAAATTCACGCAAAACGTTTGTTTGATGCCGCAAAGGTACTGGAAAAGACATTACGTTGAAAGAGTAATGACTTTATTCTGGTTTATGTCCAACATTTCTGAAAATGCTCACCATAAAGTGATTCATCATCATTTACATTGTGTTTGATTTGATAAGTGTCCTCCGGAAACGGGTTAGGAATTGACGTGCTCTGCAAAACAACAACGTAACACGCAGACCTCAATACGGCTCGGAAGGGTGTGCACAATCAGAAGAAAAAATCCCTACTCATGAGTAACGAAGCTTTCTTATGTCTCTATTAATAGCCTCGAAAATAACGTGTTTGGGTATCAGTTACCATTATAATACCTATCAAATACACTACAACCTCAGAAGAAAAGGTTCATCTTCATGATTATAACTCACCCTTTCAAAAGAAACTTAACGCTGGTCATGATTTGAAGAACTTCAATTCCACAAAAATTTAGTAACTGACACTGTCTATTTTTATTGATGACGGAACAGAGTGAGCGAAGCCAGCATCTCTTGCGAAAGAATTTATTTGGTAGGTACTTGCTCTTTCGTCAGTAATTACATCACTGTCACTGGAACAACAAACTGTAGGAAGCGTAAAGCATCAAACAGTCATCAATCAAAGCATCCTTCCGGTTCCAGTAAGCTATTGCAATATCGTGACCTACTACAACCTCCGAGGGCAAAACCTAACTTCCTTGAACTCGGATTCTTGATAGAATGACTCACGGATTAACCGATTGGCCGAGCGAGAAGTTCTTCTCGTATAAAAGCGGTTCCACGGGCTTGCTGCAAATGATCTTTTTTGTTCACAATTCACGATCATGAGAAAGTAGACTTGCTTTGTTTGAAGAACATCAAGCGGATCATATCCTTCCCAAAACATAAGTCTCATAACGAGTTGATAATACCACCGCATGAAGTTGAAGGATCTACATGTAGCATTCTACAAATAAAAGGTATAAAGTGTATAACAAAAACAAAGAATGAAGAAACAACATACCTCTACGACGGAGCACTGGAATTCCTGAACATCATCTAAACAGAAACACAGCTTCAATGCCATTAAAATGAAAGCGGCAGCTTTTGTTTCATTAGCGAAGAAAATGCTTAAAATTGAAGAAGTAGAATCTCCGAATCGATACAACTGTGCATACGACGAACTCAGTATTGAGGGTCCTATTTTTCTGTTGTTTGGGCCGACCAAATACTGTCATCATATCAGAGTAAGCAAAGCCATTTCTCGAACTTGACAACCAGCGGAAAAACGAACCCTAAAAGTGCCGATAGAGTTCTACAACTAGCTTTCGTTATTTAACAAACTCGCCTGCTCGATACGTCCTTGCCTTCGTAAACTGTTCTCGTCAAGATCGACGCGTGGAGGTGCCAGTTCCATCAAAAGAGTAACTTGTTCCATCATAGATTCAGGGAGATTCAAATGATACAATAGTCGAGACACAATCTAAAATTGACGAGATAGTATTGTGTTTGACTCAATATTCTTCCGTCTCTGACAGCAGCCGACGTAGAGAGTCAGAAGGGCGAGCCTGCACTTTGAACTCACGAAATTGCCGATCCACCCATTTTTCTCAGGAGTCAGAAAAATACTTAAATCTCTCCGATGTTTTCGAATGACTTGGATTCCAATAACTTTTGGAAAAAGAGGTCAGTCCCCTCTATGCATCACTTAATTTGGTGAATCTAGATAATGACCTTCCAGAACTTGACATAATCGGCAGATAATTGTTGAGTCGAATGTGCAGCTTGTTTATCAACGAGAGTAATAACTTAGAAATCACTGACCTGTGGAAAATCAACCTTCGCGGGTACTGGAGGCAGGCGACAAACTTGCCAAGCAAAAAAGACTGTCCTTTGAAATTCGAATAGAGGAAGGTTCTGAAAGCGGACATATGTTCTTTATCTGAGAAGCGCGATACACACGCTTCCAACGTTATAAGAGCATCAAACTCACAAGCTTTGTACACCAGCCTAATGGCCCTGCTTTTACGTCATCAAAATTTCTCGTGCTAAGGGCCGTAAACTGAAAAATAGAGATACCCAGCCTGCCTTCTCGCATCCATCTGAAGAAGGCAATTAGGCAAAACAGTTCGAGTCAAACCTAATAGGTTAACGATTTGTGTCACCTCAAGATGTCCGAAAGCATGATCCATCTGCATCCAAACGTTACAACAGATATATAGAGTAAGGCTATTAGAACATCCAATGTGAGGTAGACCGAAGCCGCCTCAAAAATGATCGCAAAATTAGCAAATTAACGAGGTAAGATTGAGTTTATTACCAACCACTCAAGCAAAAAAATGGCTTTATTTTTTGAGGACAGTTCTAGTTTATATACTGACAATACGACTATCAAATCCACACTCACATTCTTTAGAATTTCCTTTGGAATTTTCGTTTCCACGACATTGACCAACTGGGTTTGCAACTGAGTTGAAGACGACGTAGGCTCAGCAATACTGTCCTACATTTCAACATATGATCAGTTTTAGTGTTGTTTTGTAACAAAAGAAACAGGAAAGATCAAAGTTCAATGAGAGAAACGTGTTGTAAGTTCGACTTACATTAAGTTCCTCTTCATCAGAGCGAACTTCCAAATCCTCATTCAGCGTGTCACTCATAAGTATATCCCAAGCAGTTGTGGACCTCTCCAAAGCCTCCTTACCACGCTTCTTTCTTCGCATTTTATTTTCCTTTTTCTCTCGAGCTCGCTTAAATGCCCTTAATACGCAACAATAAGCACTACCGTCATCATTGCCTAATTTTCCCGATAGAACTCACAGATTAGTATTAAGCAATACAGCACGGAACATGAGCTCTACATCTTCCGTATAATCTTTAGAAGTAAAGGCAACATTCCACGCTGCCAAATAGTGCTGATAAATGGCACGAACATGATTCTATAACAAATATTTTGGTGGTACATATTTAGCCATGGAAAATCAAAATTACAAAGGTAGAAAAAGAAGAAAATTACCAACAGAGAAACCACTCGGAACAGCTTTCTCCTCACTAATCATAGCAGCGCCTTTTGCCAGCATTTTTGTAAAAGTAGAAATCCTTGTGCCAATGGTCCGTAAATATGCAGGTGCGTGATGTCTACCAGAAGTGTAATCCTTTCTGGCAAATGGTAACTAGTGTAGGTTGGGCATGATTCCCGATAATATAAAACCGAACATCTACCTCAGTTCAGAGTTTTCCGAAGAAGTGAATGTTACCGGTCGATAGCTCTCGAGTTTTTCACCCTAAAAATGAGCAATATAGAGGAAAAAGACAGGAAACAAAAAGCAGTGTACGAATAAGAGAATAATAAGAAAAAAAGTACCTTGCGACGCTTTCGGTTTGAGGACGTGAGCAAAAGTGAACCTGAAGAAGTCGCTTTTGGCTCTCCGCTAACTTCGCGAGATTTTTTTGTTTTAACTCTCGCAGAACCGATGACAAGCCCCTCTTCGTCTTCTTCCACTTCACGAAAATCCTGTCCAAGTGAAGTTGTTAAAGCGCAATTCTACATGAATGAAGCATATCATGAATTGAAAAAATGAATATCACTATTTCTCATGACGAACTTGATCTAAAGCATACATGCATTGGTAGGTACAATATTTAGCTCTTCTAGTCGAGCCGCAGATGTCAGGTGCTGATCCTATCATTACAGAAAACTTGCGTTGTGGAAACAGAAAATAGTACACGACAGTAAGAATAAGCTAGGAAGTCAGAAAGAGAGCCACGTATGATTCTGTAGATATGTATCAAAGTAAACGTCCCTGCTACAAAGTTTGGACAGTAGCTCTATTCTTCCAGCAGATTGTTTACCAATCTGAATTTCGCCTATATTCAAGTATATCAGCACTTTTGTTCATGACACTTTTTGGCTCAATATTCCTCATACAACACAATAGTCACATGCCGATATATTAGAGAGTGGAAGCTAAACCACATGTTGTCTGCAGCTTCAGCTATTCACTTGTTTTGTTAGAGGAGTAAATGAATGAACTATACAAATTAACTCACAAATATCTGGGTCCCACAAGATGCACAATACATCAGGCCGTCCAGAACTCTGGTCTCCGTAGAACCACAAATGGAGCAAGAGTTCGAAGTCATAGTTATTATTTTTACGCTAAAAATGCAAACCATTCAGAAATATAATTACCAGCCAAATGTGGGATGCATCGGTCCAAATTGCAATATGGTTGAACCGTAAATAACAAGGGGAAAAATCGCCCTCGATCAAACAGTCATACGAATTTTTTAATTCCTTTGGGATATGTTTCGGTAGGAATCTAACTAAATGGAGCCATAGAGATCGATGATGGCCCTCCGCCCAACCACCGAATTGCTAGCCCACAGCTCACAGTTCTTCTGATCTAAACAAGGTTAAACAGCCAACTTCAGCCATATGAGAACAATGGGTAATCGTTTAAACTAACAGTTATGTTAACATTTCAATTTAAGGTAACATTCTCTTACACGTTTGCCAATGCAACTGTCTGAATTACTCCAAAAGGAATCCTCACCAAAAGCCTCGAATATGGGCATTAAATTCACTTAGTTGAATGCAAAAAGTGGAGTTTGGACCTTCACAAATACAGCGGCGCGCGGCGGCGCGTCTTCCCGCCTTATGGGCGGGGCTTCTGAGGGTGGGGCCCCAGGGAGGCTAAGAAACCCATCGCGTCTTGCTATTGGATTGTGTGCGGCTGTATTCACTGTATTCGCTATGACAGAGGAAATCGTCGACGACGACCCGGTTCCTGAAGTTGGGGAGGATATCGTGCAGTTGCGACAAGATCAGTTAGAAGAGCCACTCGAACAAACAGGAGTGGATGCCATTAATTCGGTGCGAAGTTCAGCGGCAGCTCCTTCGACTCATGCGGGAAGCTCTATGAGGCCGACTTTCAAGAATATGGGTCTAGCGAACAATGCGAGTCCAACGCGAATCGTAGCTGCTCGTCATTGCGTGTCGTCGTCGACGACCTCCTGCTGTTATGTAAACGCCCAGCCCGCCGCTATCAAGTGGGGGGGGGGGGGTGTGGTAGGTTTCTAAGGCTCGTCACTCTTTTAGGAACGGCCATGCACACTAAGCTATTCCACTGAACCACCATTATTCTCGATGTATTAAACAGGATAGAAACCTTAGCCTTCCTGCACCCATCCTGGTCGATTAGCGCCATTCATCTGCTAAATTCTTCCATGCAGAAGATACTCCCTCGTCTGCATTATTTGCAGACGACCAACGAAGTCTTGATGGAGCACGCAATGGTACTCTTTAGCTAGATGTGCACCGAAGTCAAGCTGCATGTTCTGCACCATAGAAGAGAGTCGCGACTCACATTTCTCATGTCGGTGTGAGTATTATGCAGATGCCTAGATCACTTCAGGCACATGCTCAATCTGTGCGATAGATACCGGAAGTCCTTCCACGGGGAGGACTATAATGTGGCATGCGTTAGTTTTGGTCTCGGTCACAATCAGTTGGTATGCCACAAAGGCCGTACTCATACGAAGAGGCCTCGCCACTAGCCGTCGTCATCATCCAACAAGCCGTTTTGCACGTTAACTGTCCCGTCTACATGTTTCAACGAGCTGTCTCCACCTTCAAGCCGTCCACACCTCGCACCAAGCCTTTCCCAGCAAGCTATCTACATCTTTCGACGAGCCGCCTCCACCCCAAGCTGTCTTCATAAATCTACGAACTGACCGAGTGTTCAAAAATGAAGACGCTCGTCATGTATTTTCTTTCTCGTTATATTGAACAGGGTAGAAACCCAAGTCTTCCTGCACCCATCCTGGTCATTGCGGATGCCGTTCCGGGGATTCGATTTCTACGATCAGCACAACCGGGCAGAAGAGGTGAATACTTCGAGTCCGATTTTGCGGCCTCTCTAAAAGAGAAGAAGGAGCAAGAAAACAAGAGGCCTCAGACTACATGTTATAACGTGGAGTGAGTCCTCTAGTAAAGAGTCTGTATTTTCCTCATTGGAGTGTAGTGCTCCACGTCCGGTGATGATAATAATTGTTATCGTTCTGTTCAAGAACGAAGGTGGCCCCTCATCGTCGGAGCAGCCCTATCGATGAGGAGGGCCTTCTTGGGCCCGCGCCTCTCAAGCGGATCTGCCTGCAAACCAGAGGTGCTAAGCCGTCACGCCAGGAAAGTTTCCTCAGGCTGGTAGGTCGTGGGACATGAATTTCAGTTGTGGCCGCTTCAGGCACTTCGCCCAGGTTTGCACGACCACAAATAAGATGTGAAGGTCAGTTCATTGCTGGTAACATCCTGACGTTTCTGATCTTCTCCAACCTTATCTCGTTTTGTAGGGAAGTTGTTGCTGAACGGATTCCTATCATGATCGATGAACAGTTCAGGGATTTTTAAGCCGAATTCTGCTACGACTTACGAGTATAGTGAGCTCGTTGATGTTCCAGTGAAAGGTTTACTCGCTAGCGGGGCTATCGAGAGAGTTGCCCTAGGAACATTATTAATAATTAACCCGTTGTTAGTGGCTTCGGGTAAAAAGCTCAAGCTCATCTTGGATCTTTCTCATTTGAACAAAAGTAGAGACACAGAGGGTCAAGTTCGGGGACCTATCCACAGTGCTCCCAGTCCTGTCCAAAGATTTTTATATGAGTTCCTTCGACCTCAACTCCGGGTATCATCACGTTAAAAACCATTGTTCCTGAACTAATCTTCTATGATCTTTTTGGCAAGGGAGCTATACAAATTCTTGCTGTCGCATTCGATCTCTGTTCCGCTACTTGGTGTTTACAAAGCTTATGAGGCCGCTTTTGGGGAGAAGGAGATCACATGGAATCAATATTGTCATCTACTTAAGTGGCCGAAGTTAAATGTTCTGGATCACGCTCTAGAAGCTATAATGGTTGGGTCACGCATCGATCTCCATTCTTGTACGTCGAACGTCACCAAATATAGGGAGTAGATGGCTCGTGACTTAGCGAGGAGACTGCTTAAGACGAGAGGTCGTTCTCTCTCAGATAGATTGAGATGGCAAGGTAGTTTTGCTCTCATGGGTCTCGTAATTACTCCAGAGAGAGGACGGCAGTGAGGGCCGTGGCCTCGGCGATCGCTGGAAAGGGCAAGACGGGTACGTCGCTCTCTTTTAGATGGTCATCAGCAAAAGAGGAGAGGTCGGAACTGACAAGTTGGTTGTTTTGGAACACAAATTTAAGGGTATCTGTATACAAGGTTCAGTTGAACTTCAAAATGCATTTATGACCTTTTCGGATGCTTCCCGGTTAGGCCATGGCAATTTTATTTCTTGTTGCCTATTGTAGCGTCCATTTTTCCTCCAACCATTCTTTTGATGGTGGGTTCCTCCGCCAAACCTCATCGCTCGGACGTAGATAGATAGATTTTGCCGAAGATATCGGAGGCGGAAGAAACCACTTTAAGGTTTTCCAAAAGCCAACAAGGACAAACCCGCCGCTCAAGTACGAGTTTGAGCAAAACACTTCCGCAAAGAAAGCTCTCAGTGTCGACAGTGTGAAATATAATTTGACAGAGCTAAATACCCATGAAATAAAAAACAAAAAACGCTCATCATGAACTGTGCAACAGCAATATCAAGGTTGTGTCCAACATTAAACATGGATGGCAAAGTTAACAAAACGCACTCCAACGTCATTATTGGGAAGGTGCCCAGGTGCTGTTTTTTTTGAGAAGATATTCCGTCTTAGCACTGTGCTACCGTGCAATATCTCCCGGGGACGACTGTATTTCGTCATGTTCTCAGGTACGAGCGGTACTACGAGGTCATGAGGACAGAAGGTGTCCTCGTGAGAAAACCTTCAGTTCGAATTTTGTTTCCTCAACGGGGTCAGCGCCACCCACCCGACCCTCATCCTTTTCAGGAACTCTATGGAAGGAGCAGGTGCACTGCGTGAGGCTGCCACACAAACTGCCACGCTTAGCAAGTGCTAAGAGGTACTCTCTTAACAATCATCGATCGAATGCAACATCCAGGGCGTATTTGTACCTATTCTTAGCTTACTGCAACAAGTGAGGCTAACATAGCTCTTTACCACTGATATCGTCAGCGCTAACTTTCTTCTTCGTGAAGCAAAAAGAAATGGATCAAGTATCAGAAAAGTCTTTATTGAAAAGTGCAGAGAGTGCCAATGAACCGTCGGACCAAAATTAGTACGGCAGATTTCAACGCTTTTATCACAGTACCACGGTTTTGTTTGGATTCTACTGGGGACCAATACATGCCGCGCTCCCGCGCTTTGAACTCCTTGTGACCTCGCATCGATAAGGGCGAAGTATATAAACCCGCGACGCCAGGGTTGGGGGATCTTTTGCTCTCCTATGTTTTTTTAGTTGATCTTCCGCTGAACAACATTAGGTATTCGGTGTTTCTTAGCGAATCAAAAACGGACAAAGCAAGGAGATGGTAGGAAAGGTCCGCTTTAGCTGCCTTAGAGCAAAGGTTCGATAGTACCCAAGTTATGCAAATGAGAAAATGGTATCCCACAAAACATTTCAGACCTATATCTGTACTATGTACGACCGATGAACTGGATCCATCACAGATAACTATGTCCTAATCATCGCAATGCCGCATTACCACACATAAGATTCTGTTGATTTATCTTCTTATATATCTTCAGAAGCCATCTTTTGTGATTCAAACAGAGAAACCAAGTCAGCTAAAGTCGGAGGACGGATGGTTGCAACTCTTACTGATTCAGAGTGGCCCAAACTGCCAAGCGTGGTTTTAGGCTCACCAATGAGTACCAAGGTGGACGCATTGAAGCCGCATCCTTCAATCGCTTCGGCTATCTGCTCTCTATACGACGCGGAGTGGAAGACAACTGCTCACTTGATGAATCGAATTTTCCCCGTCGGCTTGCAGATAAGCACAGCCCAGAAATGGTTTGCAGGTATGCATGCCACAGTGAGTCGCCAGTGCTGCACCACCTCATGGGTATGTGTTTGGCTGAGATGGTTTGATCGATACTTGGTGGAAAAGATCCGTGAGTTGGACCAAAATGCCGTATTAGAGACGCATGTAAACGGCAGAGGCTTGAAACCAAACTTATCTTGGTGCCGTTTGGGCAGTGGAGCAGAGGAGCTCGACAAACTATACAAGGATATGAAGGATGCTCAAGAAGGGAATGGGTTGTATGTGCAGGCCGATGACATGAGCTATTACGATCAAACGGTCTGCGCAGATCTGTTGTGCAGTGAGCCCGCCCCGGTTTTCAAGATTCGGCCTACAGCAGCTGAGAGGCCCGTGCGTCCATGGTCGAACTGTTATACCGCACTATATCACACGCAAGGTCAGGGGTACAAATCCCGGATCGATGCCCGCCCAGGCCAACCAAGCCCTCCATCCCTCCAGGGTCGGTAAATTGGTTCCAGACTCGTCTGGGAGGATAAAAGCACTGACTTGTACATCGGCTGG